TCTAGGTTCTAGAGCCTGAAGACAAGACTGCTAGTTTCTTCGAAGTTCATGAATCGTCGGCGCCTGGCGCGGTCTCTGTAATTATATTTGTGCAAATATAAGTACGCTGAACTGACACCAGACTGTACGGACACAAATACTAAAAAAAGGTCAGTGTCTTGATTGTAAATGTGGCTCGACAGTCCAAATGCCGAACTCTATAATGTACTTGCGAATATCCAATCATAAAATAAACTAAGCTTTTGATGGGCCGAGCAATGTAACCTATTAACACCTTACTTCGCCAAGAAGGCTAATGAAGTGACCTCTTCCAATAAAGACTCAAAGACTCCTTACTTGTCAATACTTGGATAAATAACCAACCGAACTCGAAGCAATGATGTTATGACTAACTGAAGGTGCTCATTGGTCGCTCGATTCTACAGCTCCAATGTTGTTAAGATTAACTAAAGGTGTCGCTGGTTGTCAACCACAGTGTTGTTAAAACTAGCTGAAGATGTGCTCGATGAAGTTAGAAAGATCAGTGTTTTCTCAAAGATGAGAAGGCTTCACATAGAGAAAGGGTTTGTGTAGGGCAGATTTGTTCGTGTGTTTAAAGAAGCTTTGAATGTTGCACATCCTCCCTTATTTATAGTAGCAATTTCCCTAGTACCGAGATAGAATCCTACTAGGACTAGACCTCTAGGACATGTTTCTCTTCATACGAACTGGACTCTGAAAACTCCTACTAATCTTAGGATTCTGAATCTATCTGCCTTCCACTATTCAATCCATCTCCTTACTTTAGTCGAATTCCTCGAGAATATAAAAGCCATCCTCACTATCCTGCTTAATAAGGACCCCTAGTAGGATCTAACCTTATTTGAAACCATCTCGAGGACCCGAATGTCCTTTATCAACTCAGACTTGGCCAGATCATTCTGAACTAGGCCAAGATATCTCACAATGGGCTGAGCAAATAGCTTATTCGGCCCAAATATATTAATTTGGGCCCAAACACTAACTAAACCTGACAGTAAAAAGACAGATGCGATACTATTACACTTATTATCCCTTCATATAAGGTAGCACTCTATTTAATTTAATTCGATTTAATAGGGTTATTTTAGTATTCTAAAGAGATCCCCTATTGTTTGACTTATATGCAATTTGTAAGAGAATATTTTTGCATAAATTCATATGAAATTATAAGGAATAGAAGGGACAATTGGTTTGTGCTCATTTGTGAAGGTTTTCCTTATTGAGTCCTACATATAAATATATCTTCCTTAACATACAAACACAACATAGAATTAAAAATAATTGTATAGAAAATAATAATCAAGATGAACGTACACCAATTCGATCATATTCTCAAATTCCTTTTTATTTGTTTATCAATCCCAATTTCTTTATTATAACAAAGGATAAAGCAAGTGAATTAAACTACAAAAATTGTCATACGAAACAAGTTTCTGTTGCATTTTTATAAAAGGCAGTCAATTTCATTGGCGCCCCAATTCTATCCCACACAGCAGTCCTATAATTTTCAGCTGGGATTGTCAATGAATCATTCTTTGCCGTAATGACAAGCACATAAGCCCGGCCTGATACAAACGCAATCTTACCCCAAACCACCTTTTGGAAAACTAAGGGTTTGTTTGATATTCTATTTGAAATTTTTTATAATTTCTCAAAATATTTCTTAAGAATTTTTCTTGAAAACAATTTTCTTTAAGACTCAAAAACTTGTTTGGTATGCAATTTAAAATTTTTAAATCTTACAACTTAAACTGGACAAAGAATTCCAAAAAGAGTGGGTCAAGAGAGAAAGAGGAGAGAAGAGGAAAGAAAGTAAGAGATGAAAAGAAAGAAGTGAGAGGATCGGAGGAGATAGAGAGGAAGATGAGTGAGAGAAAGAACCGAGAGAATAAAGAAAGCAGATTGGATGAGAGACGAAAAGGGTAAAAAAAAAAAAAACAGAGAAGGGGGAGAGAGAAAGAAGAAAAGAGAGAGATAGCTTTGGAGTGAGAAGGGAGGAGGGAGAGAAAAGAAACGAGTGAGTTTAAGTTTAAAAACTCTAAAAACTCACTTTTTATGTTTTTAGATAATAGACTATATTTTTGAGTTAGTCTTGAGTTCAGTTTTTGAAAATAGTCCTACCAAACAAGTTTTTAAGGCCTAAAACTTGAAAATTGTTTTTGAGTTTAAAAAGTTTGATTCAAGTAGAATATCAAACATGCTCTAACTTCTTTGTGGCTTTCTTGTTGAATTCGGAGACAGCTAACTATGCAACGTAGATCACCTTTGGATTTTTAGGATCTGCAGGTACCCACGAAGGACGCAAATCGATTGTTTCCGAAATTAAATCAAAGAGAGAGTAACGAAACACCAAAGTTAGATGGGGAGAGCACAAAGAGACTATTTAAAAGAAGCTAAAGGCTCTAGGGTTTGAACAAAAAAACTGACTCATATCTGGTTAAATATCAATAACGGGTAAGTAACTGAAGAATGCATTTATTGTATATTCCAAATTAAATGGTCTCATCCTTCAACGGTGATTTTATGTGGTCTCGCTCTCCTGTGATGACTTTGTGTGGCATCGCTCATCAGTGAAGATTGGTGCGTGTGCACTAGTATTGGTTTGTTGCGTCTATCGTTCTGGTGACAAATTTGTATTGCTTGTGGTTGCTTGTGGTTGCTTGTGGTAGCCATGTAGATGTTTTTAATTAATCACTTGTTTGTGCAAATTCACTTCAGATCAATTATTGGTCATTGGAGCAATATACCCAATTGGCACCCTTGTATTTGTTTGTGATAATAAATGAAATACCGCTATCGTTTCTTGTCAAATAAAAAAAAATCAGTGTATTAATTTCTTTTGAAATAAAATAATCCAAAAAGATTATGCTTTGTATTAATTTTTGAAACGAAAGAGAACTTATTTCATAACTCATATCATTAGACCGTCGGGTTTATACATTGAATAGTTATTTATTTTCTGAGGGGGATGAACATCTGGCGCTAGTATCCCCTAGCTGCCCAAAATCAAGAAAAGCTGACGCTAAATAATGTGGCATGGTTCGACATCAGAGATTCAAGAATTATGAATGCTTAATATTACGTGTGTTATGAATATAGGACAACCTAAATCCATCTTTTGATACCAAACTGACACATCCCAACCTGAATATCCAAGTGGACACCAAAATCGAGGCATGTTGGCCTATACGTGAAAGATGATGAATAGCCGTAACAAGCAAGTGATGCGTATGGTAGCACATGGTCATTTCGACTCCTAAAATAGTACAGGTCTAAAAGAGGACTAGTGAAAGCCCAAATGAAGAAAAGAAAATAAAGGCCCAAATAAAGGAAAGAAGACCAAGGCCCAAACGAAGGAAAGAATATCACAGGCCCAAAGGAGGAAAGTGCCCTATGTAATTAGAAAGGGTCCAATGCTTTGCTCAATGGGGGCCTTTCTAGTGCTAAGATAATTTGGCATTCATACAACATAATTTGATTTGCATCTACATGATTAATTAACAACGTTGAGTTGTTCTACCATTGACCTTGTTATCTTTTAATTTCTAATGTCTCTGGAACTAAGAAATTTTTTGTTATATATGTTCAGAAAAATAGACCTTTTATTTTTGGTATTTGTGTTTTAATGTCACTTACTTCATTAGGAAGTGATTTCCATTCTCTTCTGCACACTATTGTTTATTTCTGACATTTCACTTAAATTAATCAAAAGAGAATCAAAATACACGAACAAACAGAGGTGTGGAAAGTCGTTTCTCAAACCATTTTGGATATTCATGAATGCACGGGGTTCTTTATATATTGACAATAAAACTTAAAGTCTGTATTTATCTATTTCATGGATAGAATGACTTCATGATGAAAATTGTTAACACATCTGCACTGCCTCACAATTTTACATCATATAAGATATTTCTCAATGCTTTGCTTTTTCCATGGAGGAAGGTATTTCTTATTGTCCTAGTAATTATAGTTTAACATGTATGCAAATACTTTTAGTTTTATAATTTTTTATAATTTAGTTTTGCATATGTGTCAAACTGCAATTTGTTTGGAAGAGCAGGCAATGTCCTAACCAAATTTTTATGATCCAGCTCCATTGTTTCACTTTGTCAAGAACCTTGGGTCCAATGCCTTCTCTCTAGAAAGGGTCATTGTTTGGGTTAATATTTGAATATTGGATTTGAATGAAGGAGAGCCCAAAGATGCCAAATTAAAGGAAGACTTGCTCAAAGCCCAGCATCGAGCCTAGAAACAAACTGAAGCCTTCTTAGCCAAGACACAAGCCACGTGTCTGTAACTGAAGTGACAAGTGATGAAGACTAACCTACTATCAGCCAAAGAACACTTTTTAGTGGCATTGCTAGTAAAAAGTTGATGACTCACTACCCTCAAAGTGCTTTCAGGCAAGAGCAAAAGTTACAACAGTTGGGCCAGATAGTCTATAAAAGGGAAGAAAGGCTCCAGAGACAAGGACACTCAACTAATCAAACAAACAAACATACGAACTCTGCTCTCAAGCCAGATTTGCATCCAAAAGCTGAAATCAACTCAGATTTAATCCTTTTAGCAATAGTTTCTTTAGATAAACTATCTTTTGTCTAGTATAAAAGCTCTGCTATCTCCCTTAGTGGTGTAGTATCGATTCTCCTGTGTAAACTTATTTACCATCCATCCTTTTTTAGCATATAACCCTTATAAATTCAAAGATAAGTGATTGCAAGAGTTTTGCCTTGCCAGACAAGGTGAAATCTTGCCGAAGCTTTTTGTTTGTTTTCTAAATCAGTAGATCTATTGCTTAATGCATTCTCCAGCATGTATTCAAGTTATTTCCACCTGTTTCTCTATTTTGAGAGTCATTTGCATCTAGATATGTTTAGATTATTGGATATGTTTTCATTATGAGCAGTTTAGGACCAAACGAATGATTCAAGGGGCTCTGGACTCCCTCCGTTTAAACATACAAGATCATGAACTAAAAGTCCTTGTTTACAAGGCAAGAAAAAGAACTTAATGTGGACTTAAATCATCCATGACAATCCTTTGATAATAAGAAGTTGGAGTAACTTAGGGCACAAGTAATCAACTAAAAAACACACGTGTTCTATATCTACTATACTGAGATAGCAGTGGCACGCCTAAGCATTTAGTTAGTTTTGATTGCGAACCTCAAGGCCTACACCTAAGGCCCCACAAAGGTACCTTTCAGAACTAACTTTAAGCTCTTATTGTAGCACATCAGGCAAGTAAGAGCCCAACTACCAAGTACATACATCAAAGTGCCAATCCCTTAAGGAGCTGTGCAGAGGTCCAAGGAGCTTTCTCCAAGAGAAATCTTTGCCCGAACAACCATATTTCCATCCTCACAAGACATAGCAATCTGCACCAACATTAACACCAATCCAATTTTATAAACACAACTTAAGTAGAAAGTTGAGAACAAGATTGTTTTTCTGTTTTTGTTGATGCGTATAAATTCGTCAGCCACCTATACAAATTCCCTTTTTCGTTTTACCAATCGAGTGGCATAATAACTTGAAAAAATTGATCAAAAGAATGAACGTTGGTTTGATCTTGGTCCTTGTAAAAACCAGTCAAGATCAAAACCAAGAAAATAATTACAAGTATAGAAATGTACCTTGGACGCGGAAAGAGGATGCAATTTCTTCCATGCCACCCGTTTCTACAACTGAACAATTTTCTTTTACTAAATTTAATTGTCTCTCAAGTTTTCTTTTCCGCCGTTTCTCACCCCCTTTCGTTTTCCCCTTCCAACTACTAAAACATGAAAACTGACTCTCAAGTTCTAAACTGGTAGCCATGCTTAAAGGAAGAAACTGTGTATGAGTAATGTATGGCTTATTTCTTGTATTCGTGAAGAGTGTCGGGGAGGCATTTATAGAAAATAAGGCGATAAAACCGATGATGACACTACATTCGTTTATTTAGCAACAAACAAATCATTCACTTGTTTCACTTCAATATAGAGACCAAAATAACGCATGTATTAACTTTCGTGTCATTTCACATGATTTAGTATTGCAGACTTACCTTCGGACATGCACTCTCGCGTGTATCAAGACGGTTATATAAATAGAATAAAAATAAAAATTGATAGAATTTTTAAAGATACATGCTAAGGAGATTATCTCAAAAGTGAGACTCTCAATAAACTTCCCGCAATCTCATGTGAGACTTTCCATAGACTCTCCATCACCTCATGCTTTTAGTAAAATGTTTTATAATGGTGGCATAGAAATTAACGTTAAATTGTGATATAACAAAAAATGGATGAAGCGTCCCATTTTGAGAAAGTCTCTCTAACATTTCTCTTTTTTAAATAAGGCGATAATACCAAAGATGACATAAAATTAGTTTATTTACCTACAAACAAATTGTTACGTGTTTCAATTGAAATTATAGAGCAGTCCATAATTCATAAGCTAATTGAAACATCTTATAACGCATGCATGCATCAACTGTCATGCCATTTCACATAATTGGATATTCATCACTTGCCTTTGAACATGAACTTTTCAACCATAATAATGATAGGAGCATATTTATGCGACTTAATTGGCTAGTTCTCGTGCATTTACGTTGTGTTTTTTTAGTTATTTTAGTGTTTAAAGTCACTTTTGTGTGTTTTCAGATTCCAAAGCCGAAGTGTGCAAAATGATGTAATTTGGAGCCTTTTGGAGCACAAAGAATAGATGAATTGAAGACTTGAAGAAATTAGGATTCCTAATCGACGAAGGATTCCTAATCGACGAAGGATTCCTAATTGAAAATTGATTCCTAATCACATGAGGATTCCTAGAAGAATGAAGATTCCTAATCCAATAAGGATTCCTAATTGAAGTAGGAAAGTTAAGCCAAAGTTTCCTATTTTAGTTTAACCTTTCCTAAGTCTAAAAGCACTTATGTTCCAGCCACTTTGAGGACCTCATATGCACTTTAGGACATAAAACAAAGATTCCTTGCACCATTCAAGGTAGTGCCGCACCTCACATACCATTTCCTTCCCTTTCCTTGCCGTGAGTCCCCTTTCCCTTTCTTTTTAGGACACTATCCCTTTCCCAAACATCCAGCCGCACCACCCTTGCCTTTCCTCTTCCTTGCCGTGCAAGGGAGAGGGTCCTTTCCTGTTTCTTTGCAATTAAAACACATTCCCCTTTGGTTTTAAACCCTAGCCGCACCTCCTAGCCTAATTCCCTTTAGTTTTCTGATTCTATTTCCTATTTAGATAAGTTTTAGACTTAATTTCTGATTACCTAAATAACCTAGGGTTTTAATTCCTAAATCCCTTTAAATAAACTTCATTGTGCAGCCACAAAAACATCCATACACTGCCCATTCACGCTAGAAACCAATCTCCACCTTCAGCCGCAGCATTCTCCACCATTCACCCAAATTTCTGCCACAAATCACCACTAGCCGCATCACCCATCAACCCTAAACACTTCCATACGTCCCCCCATCCATTCTACATCATTTAATAACCCAAAAACTTGCCCAAAGTCCCTGTGCCGCAGCAAAGGAGAGGAAGAAGAAGTACTTGAAGGTTCTAGCTGTTCAACATCGAATCGTTGGAATATTTAGGTGTTCTCTTTCTTATATTTACAATGTATAAATCTGTTTTCCTTTGTTTTGTGAACATGAGGAACTAAGCCTTTTTGGCTAAGGGGTTATTCAATACCATGATTATGCTTGCAAGATGAATTGATTACGTCTAATTGTTATTTCATGAATTGTGAAAGCAATTTGCTTAACCGTTTGATTGATGACTTATTTTTGTGTGTTAATTAAGGTGGCCAACTTAGTTTTCATGCAGGAATTTGAAGCTAAAACATAAGGAAGTTTCACCTAATAGTTACAACTTTATGTTTGCAAGTAGTGGAGGTCACTTATAAACGATCGTGTTAAGTGAATTCTTGGCAAACGTTTCATGCTTTTCATAGTAACAATTGCCTCGTCAATGCTTATAGTTTTCATGAAGCTTAATGATCTTTGATTGTACCTTTATTGTGCTTTTCACGTAAGGGACTTTTAGAGAATGTTTTGAGTTGTTGCATGTGCATTCCCATCCAATTCACTAACTTTAGGAAAACTTGAAGGTTAAAAAAGTGCTATCACAGTTAACCTAGGGCGTTGAGATTCATAGTTTATTGAAAGAAGCAATTGGAAATCAAAGTTGAATGCAAGTGTATCATGTGTGGAGAAGAACCCTCTAGTTAGTCTATCTCATCAAATCACCTAATTTTATCTAAGAATCTGTTTTCATTGTTCTTGTCTTAATTTAATTATTTTCGTCCAAAATCAACCCCACCTTATTTCTTTGAGTCATATTACTTAGAACTTGTCTTAGATATTGTTTTTAAGCATTTTAGGTCATTAGAAAACCAAAATTCGTCCAAGTTGTGTTAGAGTCCCAAAACTGCCCAGAAAGTGGTTTTTAGGCAGTTTTGAGTGTTTGTTTGTTGTTTTGAGTCTTTTGGTTTGTTTTAGTGTTTTAGAGTTTAGTTTTGCATTCTTTGAATCTAGTTTAGTGTTTTAAACCTTGTTTTATAGATTTGAGTCAGTTTAGAGTGTTTTAGCAATCTCTCCTAATCCCCGGTTTAAGAACGATCCCTACTTATCCATACTACAATTGTCAACAAGAGGGTTAATTTGTGTGTTTAGTTAATTTACGCATCAAATAAAAAGAATAAATTTTTAAATTTTGAGAAGTATTTATCACACCAAAGCCCACACAATTTCTCTCTTTATCATTGTATGGGTGCAGATAGCTTTCAAACATACCTATAAAATGATAATTCTAAGGAGATTTAAGTATTTCGAACTAAACACGAAGCATTCATTGATTTTGCATGAATGCACCAATAAAATAAGAAAAATAAAGGGTAACTGAAAATGCTATACGGTAACATATTTAGAGAATCTCTAGCGAGCTCCTTGAATGAATTCCTAGCTAAAAATAGAATTTTTACTTTGCTCTTAGGCTAGTTAGGTTAGTAACTGGAAGCTCCAAAATATGGGGAGGGAGAAAAGAGTTCTTAGCAAGTTAATATTTTTTTTAATAATATTGTAAGAGAACTATTATTAGCACTCCAAAAATCTTATTATACATTCCTCACAAATGTATTTTTGTTTCCAATTATTAAAAGTTTGGAGTGCTAAATGAGATTTTTTATGACACATCCCGACCCGGATTGTCCACTAGGACTCCGAATCGAGTTGTGTTGGCTGACACCTGGAAGGTGACGAAGCCATGAAGTGTAGTGATATGGAATATGTGAACAAATTTAAAACTAAAAGTGCCTAAATATGAGAGTACGCTGTGAGCGGGAATGAACTCATTTCACACGTGACGTCAGAGCATAAGTAAAGTACAGTATAGTGGATTGAAAATCATACCGTCGAAGGTAATCTCCAATACCAAGATTTGCCACGAATCCTTGTCGATATGAAAACTCTGCTACTAGAACCTGAAGGGATAAAAACAAGAGTGAGTGGGCTTGAATATAAAGCTTTAATAAAGACATTCTAAACAATATAACCCCTCACTGTACTACCTGTATAGTTTCCAGGAAATCATATCACATATAAGTATGAAGTCAAATGTAAATCCACATTAAATCCAAGAATAATCCAAAATCACTACATATTGGCAACAACATAATAAAATCAGGTGCTCATCAATCTATGATAACCCACGAGTCGGAATTGCCTAATACAACCTGTACGACTCATAAATCAATCTATGATAACACATGAGTCGGAGTTGCTTAATGCAACCTGTACGACTCATAGGCAACTTGTACGACAGTGTCGAAGTTACCCATTGCAACTTGTACGACAATATCGGAGTTGCCTATCATTGAAACATGTACGACAGTGTCGGAGTTGCCTATAACACAAATATAGTCATGCCATCACTCAATCATTTCAAATAACACCATAAACTCACCTGAACTTACCTGCGCGTCCCGCGTTCATATGGATATGCCATAATGCAATCTAAAGCTCAACCATATCATAGTATTTTAGATTATATAAATATATATATGTGTTGACCCTAGAAATTACAAAGTCTACGTGGCGCGCAGGCCGAGTAATCTATAAGCTAACTACGTCCTTCGGTGATTGCGGGGCGTGCCAACTCGTCAGCCGAGCTCGACCGAGAAGTAAATTTGTTGATATTGCTTTGGGTGCGCGGCTGACTTCTGCGTCTTGCGATTGCGGCCGAGAAAGGAACACGTCTCGGCCTCTTGGGCTCTCGAACCTGAAGACAAGGTTACTATTCTTACGAAGTTCAATATCAAATTCGGCTTTCAATGTGCCGAACGTAATAACGTGTAACACCTCACTTCGCCAAGAAGGCTGATGAGATGACCTCGACCAATAAGGGTTCAAAAACCCTTCTCGACCGAGACTTGGATAGGTAATCAACCGTTCTCGCCGCAGTGCTGTTGATGCCAACGGAAGATACTGCGAGACCGATTGATTCTACGGTGACAGAGCTATCTATGCCGACTTAAGATATCACCGGTTGCTTCCACAGTGCTGTTGATGCCAACGGAAGATGTGTCAGCGAAAAGGAAAAAGAAAAATCACAAGTTGTGAGAATTTGCGCAGGGCAATTTTGTGTTGATTTGCAGGGGGCCTTTTACGTTCCACAGCGCCTTGTATTTATAGGACTAAAGTATTTGGCTTGCACGGTCAGATAATGTTGCAGAGTCTGACTGCAACTCTACCTCGCAGAATGAAATTTGATCCGTGGCATAAGCTGGCCGACCTTTAAAATATAAAAACTATCTAGGCTTATCCCATCATGACCAAAGACCTAGCTTACCTAGGTTTCTCTCTCCACCATCAAATCCTTGCTTTATCTCATTAAGAATCCCAATGCAACTAAAGCCTTTTGTTTTTTCATGACGGATGTCCAAGTGCAACCATACATGCAAATTAATTATAATTTAATTGCAATATCATCTAATCACTTGAGATACCATCTTCCATCAAATACCACTTTGTATCAGGAGTCCTATTGATGCATGACTCACGTGGCCACAGCAATATGACAAACATATTCTCCAGTATCCTATTTTGCATGCCTACCCGATGTGCTTCGAGATAACTATATAAATAATTTTAAATTATCATCTAAGAGATAAATATATGATTAAAAAAAATCATAATGTTATCCTTTAAATAATAATTAAAAAATTATCTTAGTAAATCCAACAGTTTAGAATTCGCCCATTCAAAGATATTGGCCGATTCTGTAATTTTGGGTCCAAACACCTACATTTTTGGAACCATCAATAATGTATGAAATTTTTTACAAAAATCATAGTTTCATATCAATAAGAAGAAAACACATATAACTAGAAATAGATGAATTTTAATATGGTCAAAACTCAAAAGCACTAACAGGATCTCATATCAGGGTATTAATCATACTAGTTGTACAAAGACCACTAAGCACGCGCTAGAAAGACAAGATGAGATGAAAACCCAAAGGAACTAAACAGAATAACATATTACAAATTTTGTCACTGATGCAGGAAAACATATTACATTCATAAGTCAGAGTTGATCAGATCATGCAACGCTACAAATTTTGTCACTGATGCAGGAAAACATATTACAAATTTTGTCACTGATGCAGGAAAACATACCACATTTGATTGTTTGTTAAAATTAGTGCCAACCAACAATATTAAAGTAGCTCTAAATTAACAAACACAGTAAATCTGTAAGTATAATCTAGCACTAGCAGTGATAAATAATCCAACTGTGTACCAGCAAAATAGAACTGAAACAAGCCCGAACCCAAATTACCTTTGCATACAGATCAATATATTTACGGAACTCAGGATCCTCCACTAAAGCTGCATAGGTCGGAAGTTTCAGCAACCCCCAGTGTATCACCCCCATATAGTGCAAGGAGGGACAGAATTTCCAATGTATCACCCCCATATAGTGCAAAAATATCCTTGTCAGACAGCCCCATTCTATAGAACTTTTCCCTAAAATGTGGTGCACCTATTATAGAAAAATAGAACACACCGATAAAAAATTAAACTTCTATTAATGAACAACAAAACATTTCATCTCCCAAGCAATTTAATTGAAAATGATACACAAGCATGCATGAATTAAGAAAGCTAGGATACACAAGCACATATAAACTAATAGAGACATTATTAGAGAACTTCTAATCTAGTCTAATAAAAACACTTCTAAATATCTAATACCGAAACGCATAACATTTATGAATTCTAATCCAACTAAAAGCTAGCATATGAGAACTATTAAAATAGGGGAAAATAAAACTTGAAGAAGATATATTAAGTATTCGAATAAACCTCGTTTAGCACCTAGAAGTTGTCATTCTTTAGGAGAAATTTTAGAATTCTAAGAAAAAGTACAAAAAACAGATGAAAACTTGAAAATAGTGATATGGAAACTAACTATGTGTTCTTGAAATAAGTGATCAGTGGCCACAACATACCTTCCAGCCTGGAGATAAATCAATGGCAGGGCAATGAACTCAACTGCAGCACACCAGCAAGCTGAAAATACAAGTAACCATGCCCCTTAATATTAAAGAATCCACACTATCTTCCACGTATTTTAGGAAAGTATGCGACAGTCTTTGTACAAGCTCTTCATTTGCAAATAATTTGATGAGCTAAATTCATATAATAGGCTGAGTAAATTATTCAGAACTATAATCACTTGGTATAGGTCTGCATATGTAATCCTTGGATGCTTAGACATAAGAGTCATGACTCTCAAAGTCATTACCAAGATATGTATTAAGCACCTTGTTCTGATCTCTGTTGTGAATCCAAAGTATATGAACTACAACACTGATCCTACCCTAACAAAAACTTCCACAGCTTACATCTGATTCAAAATCTTAATTTCCAACCTCAAAAAAAATCCCAAGCATGGTGTTGAATCTATTGGAAACAAAACTTCATAATGTCCTGGCAACAAACATTGCTAAAACTCCTATAATCACGAACAATGCGGATTTATTCCAAATGAAAAAGTGTGGGAAATTGTACCCTACAAAGAGTCAAAGACTCATTAAATTTACCAAACTCATACTCCCTGTAGTTTTACAAGTTTTCAAACTAATTCAACACAACAAAGTCCCATTAGCTACGCAAAAGCTTAACAATTTTCGAAACTAATCCAAAACTAAACAATCCCATTAGCTACACCAAAAGTGGTTTTGTGTTTGTACTAAAACTTAAAACCCAGTTGTAAAAATCACAACTCTGAATTTAACTAAAAAATATATTTTAGCAGAATCTACTGAGTTCCAGATCAAATTCCGTTACCACCCATACTGAAACGAAAAATAATTCCTTGTATATCTCATAACTCACTTGAAAGCAAACGACAACAAAAATTGGAAATAAGAAAAGAAGGGATCTCAAGTACATAATCTTTCCAGGTAAACATATTAACAACAATTAGAAAAATCAATCCAATATTAATAAAAACAATTGTCTTCCAGATTTGAGAGGAACCCTAGAAATCACTTAGCAAAGGTTAATGAATAAGAAAAGAGAGAAGATGGAGATGATTGTAGTGGCTTACAAGAACTCCGATTGTGCTCCAGAATCTTTAATTAAGCTCTAGAATCTCCGATTGAATCTCTAATTGGATGGATTAGGGTGAGAGGAGCTCCATACTTTTAGTCGGATAGGTAAAAGAAACGGTTGAGGGAGAGAAAAACATTTTTCTTTTTCGGATACAAGGGGAAAGGCAATGTGCGCTTGGCTATTTCCTTTAATTGCGACGTTACTAATGCCAAGGTCGCAATCATTTTCGCTCCACCATCTAGCGCGCATGTTTTGTGTTATTTGCGAGGGCCGTGCTATCTGACAAAAAACTAGTCACAAAAGGCCTTTTTCTTGGGAAAGGGATTCAGTCTGAGTATATAATCTGAGTTCTTAAAATTTGATCTAATAGTTAAAAATAAGGAATTCCATTAAAAGTTATAATAACTTTAGCCGTTGAATCAAATTTCAAAGGCTCGAATTGTGTGGTTAGTAGGCTCATATGAAAGGGATCCGGTTTTCTTGTAGTGATACTATATCATTGGACTAATACTATTTATGTAATTATATTAATAAGGTTTGATAGGTTAGCCAATGCTTAAGCCTAAACCTATCATGATATTGCAAAATTTATACAGAATCAAACCAAATTACTATAAGAAATAACTTGAAATAGCTTGAGCTAGGTATCGGGCTTGAAGTTTTTATGCTTGCTAGAACTCAACTCGTGTAAAAACCTAGCCAAACCTAGTTCGAGCTTGAAAAAATTAAACTAGTCAAACTTCAGCACAACAATATTTAGTTTGGTTCAACTCGTTTACAGCTAGTGGGAACAAAAAATAATCCCAAAAATCGTGGAGGTGACATGTGGATTTTTGGACAAGAATGACGAGATTACCCTCAAGCACACCGGAATTCCCACGCGCATGCAAATGACAATAACGGCTCAATCAAGGAAAAGTCAAAGGTGATCAATATGGAATTTATTTCATATTCCTCTCATCACTCCTCATCAATCTCTTATTGATTTTATTAAAATGTAACTCTCAAAACTTCCTATTTAAATTAGGAATAATTGCCATAAGATATTATTTCACATAATATCTTGCAATAATCAACTAAATACACCATAAAGGGCCGGCCATTCCTCACCTTAAGGATCGGCCACTTTCCTATAAATACCCCACTTATCCCACTAAAAAACTAAGTCATTTGTTACCCACAAACTCCAAAATACATTATTTTCATAATTCTAACTTTGGCATCAGAGATTCTTCAACCAAAGCCCCTCCCAACCTAAATTTGGGCGTGTGAGGTTTTTGGCCTTAATCAAAGGTGATGTTATTTTGCAGGTGCATTTTCGTCAAAGGAAGAGATGGCAAAAATTTTCATTCAAAGTTTTTCCTCGTTCATACGTAAATTTTTCATACGTTCTTATTCCTAGAATTTTTTAATTTCTTTGAATACATGTAGAAGAAAAATACAATGGCGGAAAATTCGGAAACCACAACGAACGAAACTTCCTATGTTCAAAGATCCAGAACAAATGATAGAGATCACGATGTAGCCCTATCACAATGATCCGCGAGACTCACCAAGGCAAGATGAGTAACTTTGCCACCACGAAGCACCACCATTATGGCAGCCATGACAATTGTCGTGGCAGTGGAGAGTGGGACAGCTCCATGGAAGTGAGGCCATAGTAAGTAGGGAACATCGAGGCAACTGCAAGCCCAGGCCCACTCCACTTTGCAGCAATAGGCCCAGGCTATAGAGGCAGCCTAAGCTGCTACCTCAAGAGCGTAAGCCCAGGCCTTGCACGCAATCTGGCTCAAGTTCAACCAGTAGTCTGCGACTAGCCTGCTCGCTTGCTAGAAACGTATTATATGCACCGCAACCGCGACATAGACGAATTGAGCATAGGAAAGAGTAGCCTAGACCAACTTGTCACAACCAGGAGGCAGTTAGAAGCTCCACTACCTTAGCAGAGGCAAATTTAAAAAGAAGTCGAGACGCTCCTGACTGAACGATTACGCGATTTCCAGTGCGATGAAGCTGCTGCCCACCTCACAAGTTCACCATGCCTCACTTCACTTCATATAAGGGAGACGAATATCCGGATCGACATCTCAAGCACCACCGCAGTACTATGACCTTTATAAGAACAACGATGCGCTTATGTGCAATATTTTTGCCACAACTCTACAACGTGAGGCGCAAGACTAGTTCCATACCCTACTGTCGTAGTCAATCCAAAGTTTCAACGAACTTTCCTTAGTTTTCACTAAGGAATATTCATCTAACTGCTCAATCAAAATGATGTCTGACCATCTCTTCAGTATCGCAAAAGACTCGAGGGAGACATTTCACAACTATGTCAAGAGGTTCAAAGCAGAGAAGGCTAAGATTGTTGGCTGCAACGAAGGCATAGTAACAACAACATTCATAAATGGGCTTCCTATTAAGCACCCTTTATTCGGAAAATTAATCATGGGCAAGGAACTGACCCTGGCAACTTCGTATGCCTTGGTGGAGAAGCACGCACTATGGGACGAGGCTAAACAGTCTAGAAGAAATGAGTCAGAAAAGAAGCGCACAGATTATTCCCGGACCAGAGAAGACTCAATGCCCGAAATATTATAAGTTCACAGTTTCAATCGGCTAGATTCTCCGTAAGCTCAAGAACAAACTTTGGATCAAGCTGCCACCTATGAAAGGTGATTTTACTAGGCTGGATCAGACAAAGTATTGCTTTTTTTCATCAAAGACCAGGCCACAGTACCAATGGCTACCTGAAGTGGAACCAATACCTTGAGAAGTTGATGAATGAGGGTCAATGCGATGAATATCTTGTTAAAATCAGCAACATGGCCTACCCAAGCAGTGGAAACCTACACTAAACCCTCTTCAAAGACGATGCAGATTAGTGGCATCTTTGCCAGGTTTGAACACTCTCAGGCCATGGACAGCTCCAAAAGAAATAAGCATCCCACTTTCATCAAGTAGCAACATGATGGAATGCTGGAAAAAAATCTCCCATCACCCATTGAACCCCGTTCAAGCTTATCCAAATAAGTTCGAAGTCTCAAGCAACATGAAAAAGAAGACCTCGTCAGTCGAGGATTATCCAGTTGTTATGCAGTTTCTACCTTCCAGCACAATTGCTACATTTTTTATTCTCAATGAAAATTCAAGAAGTTATTCATAAGCCTGGCTCAACTGCTGTCAATAACAACTACTCAAACCCTTATCTGGGAAGGCTTTCCAATGCGAGAGGCTAAACTAATTCCCCACCACCCATTAGGCTTGCTCTCCGGTGCGAGAGGATAAACTAATTGCTCTTCAGTGCGATAGGGTAAACTAATTCCCTGACATCAATATGAGTCTGCTCTCCAGTGTGAAAGGGTAAATTAATTCTCCGACACCTATCTAGGTCTACTTTCCAATGCGAGAAGATAAATTAATTGCTCTCTAGTGCGAGAGGGTAAACTAATTCCCTAACAACCATCTGGGTCTACTCTCCAGTACGAGAGGATAAACTAATTCCTTGACACTCATTTGGGTAAGCTTTCCAATGCAAGAGGGTAAACTAATTCCCTGAAAACCATCTGGGTAAGCTCTCCAGTGCAAAAAGATAAACTAATTCTCCTACACCCATCTAGGTCTACTCTTCAACGGAATGGGGAAAACTACCAATGAATTTCCACACAACTACTCATTTTGATGTGATTAGTTAATAGTTTTCATATTCCACATATCTTTATCATGTTGTGATGCAGGCCACATAGCTCAAAAGATCAAATACTTGAAGACCAGCCAAGCATCAAATGGTCAATGGGTAGCAGCCGATGACGAACTCAACAGCTCGATTCCCAAGAAGCAAAAACTCACGGCATAGTGACTCTGTGGGATGGTCAACTTTTTTTGAAGTAGCGTGCCCTACCGACTGTTCTAAGGCTAAAAGTTTTGCAAGACACTTCAAGCAAGCAAAGTTTCAAGAAAAACAAAAATGGAGTAAAGCAAAGAAAGTGGTTTATTTCTAGCAAATTGATAAACTTATATGAAGGTTGTCACACCTCAATCCCGACATACGTCTAAGATCGACACGTGATGTCAGCTCAGCTCAGTTTATTTATCATGTCTCGTCTCCGAGCCAAGTCCAAAATGCAATCTATGATTCAACCACACAATAACTTTCTCTTATTTCATGGTTGCACCTAACCTTTGCATTAGACTGCCTACGTACCCTAAATAGGGATCAAGCCATTTGTAGTTCACCATTGTTAAACTTTAAACTTTTCATAAAATACTTCTAGCAGAAAGCATAGAGTACCACACTACACATCAATCATAAGCCAAACAACATTTGTTATCTGCAGAAGCCTACATCTCTGAAGAATAAGATTTTGGACTACTCAACAAAATACAATATCAAGTTTCGAACCACTCAATAGAACCAAAATACCAAGCGGGAATCCGGACCACTCAATGGAATCCAAACCAGGATACGATTCTGGACCACTCAAAGGAATCGCGAAGTAGAACGGATTCCGGACCACTCAACAGAATTGCGGAGTACAATGGATATCGGACCACTCAATGAAATCCAAGGCATGATACGATTCCGGACCACTCAGTGGAATCGCAGAGCACGAGGGATTTTGGACCACTCAACGGAATCCAGACGGAGTAGGGAACCGAACCATTCAACGAAACCCCAGCAGAACCTAGTTTCGGATCACTCAACGGAACTAAGCGGAAGTTCAAGGAATATAACAACGGCTTGAAGAAACAAACATGAATCAAGTCACTCAAGTTATAAAAGCTTGATGAAACAAGAAATGCAACAAAGCACAAGTTACACAATTAGAACGGTTAACAAAACAAGAAATGAAACAATGAATACGGATATGAAACAACTTTCGAAGCAACAAATCCAATGATAATGGGTTAGCAGTCGACTACTAGCCCTCACATTTCATCACATCTACCAATCATGCAAATCAAACCACATTTCAAATATGCACGTCAAATCACATTTCATAAATGTTTTCAATAGACAGTCAAATCACATTTAATAAAATCAAGTTATACCCATGAAAGACATTAAATACGAAACCATGATAATAACCATATCACATTTATTAATGTCACTCACTAACCACTGTAGAGCCACTAGACTTCACTTAATCTCTAGTAGTACTAATTTTAGTATTTAAAACGATTCAAGACATGTTGACCAAAAGTCA